TATATATATATGGCATATTAAATATACATTAATAAAATGGGCGGAAAACACATCAACAAGGTAATGTCAAATACGAGTCTAACGTCCATTTTCCTATGGATTTTCAATCGTATATCACCGCCGGATAAAGACTAAACATTGTTGTTCATGTATAAAATATACCGGTAACCAAACACTGACAGCACCAACGTCTGCCATTACTGTAGCTTGGAAGGCATTTACAAAGTTCAACGATTGTTGTTGGTTGCTAGGCGATGATGCTAACCCTATGAATGGGACGGCGGAGGAGACGCAGCTTAGTGGTCGTAAAGCGAACGTCGCTGAAGCACTCAGTGACCAGACCACCAATTGTAACGTAAGACAAAATCAATATCCCTAAACACCAACCCTGGGATAATGTACTAGTGAAGTAGACTGCGTTATTGTTATTCTAATTCACGGTAGGGCCTACATGACAACCGGTTATATTATACGTCAGGCCTACTTTTTATTAGCCAGTAAACTTCAATCTTAAACTGTTGATACAATTGCAACTCAAGTTTGGACATCATTTCCAGCAATGCAGCTCCATTCTAAGACTTTTAAAGATTTTTTCCCCTAATATTCAAAAACGTATGGCTGCGCCGTTGAATCTGCCTCATGTACAATATACCTTTTATGCTTACTGTTTTTATCGATATCCTTTGTCCCTTATTGTTTACAATTTCAGATGCTACATTCTATCGAATAATAAAATAATATAATTTATATTGTTCATATAACACATGGTTCCTAGGCACTTTACACAGAAAGTATATAGGGCCAACTTATAAAAGAAATAAAATTAATAAATTAGAATAAATCAATGACTGTTCTATTTAATCCCCCCCCCCCCACCGACCCCCTTCACACGCTGCTTTTAGGTAAAAGTGCTGGTCGTGGACATGCGCAATTTCAGTAAGTTTATTTTGCTGGTTCCTTCGGTCGAAACTGTTACTGGATATAATCATGGAGGAAATATATTATGGTATAATTTAGGAATAATCGAGCCTCTAAGTATGAGTATTTTTACTGATGGAGTTATAATGTGATTAGGCCTACGAGTTTTGTTGTCGGAGACATTCATTGCTGATATACGGGATTTACACATTTGATGGGTTTGGACAGAAATGAGGAATTGATGTGTTACAGTAGATACCACACCGTATCCATTGGTATTGTGTTCCTTAATTAGTTTGCCGGCCTGAATTAAAAAGCCCGAGTCATACAAAAAGTAGGAACAAAAGACGTGTAGGCCGAATGCAAAATTAAAAAAAACAATTAAGAATGCTCTTGGAAGAAATACAATTTAAAACATTATTGGTTGCTAGGCTACTGTGACTTTTATCTGTACATTAATTGAATTGACAACGGGTTTTAAGCTGGGGTTATAGATACACTCTATCCGGAGGAGGATTACAAGGTGATAACAAAAGGTTTTGAACCTTTAGCCTACTGCCGTATTGGCCTAATTTTTCTTTTGGGCCTACATGGTAAGCATATACTGGGTCTGTGGGTCTGCCATAAAATACGATTAAAAACATATGTAGCAGGCACATCATAAGGTTTACGACCAACGTGTGAGTAGGATAAAGAAATATGATTTAATAATCACATAGATAGGGTCACTAGTAGAAAAATATCTTTACATCAAGGTTGATCTCCTTTTCTAAATAATAGTGTTGAAATACCTTCATGTCATATACTCATTTGTTTTATTTTCTCATGCGGATTAATCTGAACTCCCCCACTCAAACATAAACTCAAAAATATGCCGAAAGTATCCTCTGGAAGATCTATATCCAAGCTAAAAAACTATTTCTAAAGAACTCACGCAGTACAGACTGTTAATGACTGCGTAATTCTGTAACTCCCATGTTAAGAGCACAGCCAGTAGGTCTGATGAAGCTGCTGCCGCACCTCCGGAAACATACTTGTGAGCTAGTATAACGAGCTAAAATTCGTCAATATTTAGAAAACAATGTGTCAAGCTTTGTTTGTTTATATCTTGGTTAATTTGTTTTATAGTTAATTAGTTACTGAGACAAACGTCGAGGAAATACTGACCAAATATTTAGTGTAGTGCTCCATAGATTAAGACAACATAACAAAATATTTAAATAGGCCTATACATTCAAGTATGCGAGTAAGTTCACTCCACACTATGTTCAATGGTGGCTCAAGATAATTAGAAGGTGGGTGAAAGATAATTAGAAAGAGGGCATCAAAACTTAAAGCTTGCTTGTAATTGATGCCTTTTCAATCAATCTTTGAATTGGTAATTGTAAAAAAAATATATATGATAAAGGAAATTGATTGATTAAAAATTTATTGTGAAAGTAAAGCCGTCCGACAGGGGAATGGCAAATTTCCTACCGGGAGACCAGCAGGGCCAGAGGAAATCTTTGGGGTGGGGGGGTTGTTTTCGATGGGCTAATTCCCCTCTGGAAATAAATCCTGTGTTGGGATTTAGAGGGTTATCCCAGATATCAACAATGATGACTTGCTTGTTTTCTCATTTTTGTTTCTCTGTTTATTGTTGTTCCGATTTTGTAATGTTGTTCATGTTGATACCGAATAAATCAAATCAAATCAAATATAATCTAAAAAGTGAAGTGTTTTCTTTTGACGAGTCATTAAGGGTTAGGTCGCCGATCAGGAGAGGCTTTAGACTTTCTTCACTGCCATTCAGCGGAGGTGCCATCATATCTGATTGAGAGCCGTACTGACCAAGTTGCGCCCTGACAAACTAAATAGGGCCTACCATGTAGCGGTGCTGTATCAGAGGTTAAAATGTTTGCCTTCCAATCTCAAAGTCAGCGGTGGCAGCAGGATTTGCCCGACGGAACGTCCGAGGTGTCCGACGGGGGCGGGGTGGGAGGGCGATGTCCCCGACGAAAAAAGTAGGCGTGATGGGTCGTCGCTCAAAATCCCTCGGAAGTGTCCAGGGGGCGTGAAAAATATTAAAATTTAGAGGTTTCCGACAAAGGCTTATTTAATTAGTTTTGGGGTCTACTAATGTAAAAAATACATAGGCCTATACAATTTTTTCTACCCGACGAGTGGTTTTTCTCCCCGACGGGGCCCTGGCCTTCCGCCCCACCCCACCTGGCGCCACCCCATGCTCAAATTACTGGGTTTAACCCCACTCCCCAAGCCTCATAATGAACTAGTTAATAAAAATCACATTATGGATGATTTCAACAAAATAAATAGGTTATCATTGTGCTTAGCCTCATATATATATGGTTCATTTTAAAGATTAAAATTTTAACAATATTCTATTTCTAGTGTAAAAAAAAACAACCATGAACAAGAATCAGTTGAAATACGATGCCGCTGAGGACTACCCCAATTTCACGGGGCACAAAAGTCTGTTGGCTAAGTACCTCACCTTAGACATGTACAAAAAGCTGAGGGATGTTACAACATCAAGTGGATATACTATCGACAAAGCTATCCAGAATGGAGTCGACAACTCCGGTAAGATCTTCATACAAATTACCTCGTTACTCTCGTGCAACTGACGTCATAACATGTCTTGGGCAAATTGATGAATTATTCTCTATGAACATGAATGTAGAAACCAATTGAACTTACTTTGAATTTATGTTAAGACTGTAAAATACGATTTCTCCAGTGGCGGATTCAAGAAGGGTCAAGCCGGCCCGAAAACCCCCCCCCCCTTTAATTTTTCAAAATTATAAGAAAGTGGGAAAAAAGAAAAATATATTCAAATTTAAATCTGAAACCCCCCCCCCCCTTTAATTTTTCAAAATTATAAGAAAGTGGGAAAAAAGAAAAATATATTCAAATTTAAATCTGACAGTGCCATTTCCGGCAATATAGAGATGCCATAATCATAAATTTTCTTATTGCCTCAATTGCCTTATTATTACCTCAATTCCAACCCCCATCCGTGAAAGTCCTTCCCTGTGTCCCGCTATTTCGAATTCCTGGATCCACCACTGGTTTCTGTTTCTGTCTGTTATTAAACTTATATCGTTTAGGTTCATAATAACTATGTGTACTTTCATTTGACATGATTCTAGATTTCCATCTTGGTCTTCTGGCCGGTGACGAGGAGACTTATTCTGTCTTTGGTGATCTCTTTGATCCCGTAATTGAGGAATACCACAACGGATTCAAGAAAACGGGTACGAATTATTCATTTATTGACTATATTAATGTATATAATATTACGATAATTTCTTACACTTTATAGACATCCAGAACAGATTATATGCATGGACCTAGGCGGAAACTTGGTTAGACATGAGAACGAAATATAATGGATACGTGCGCTACAAATCATATTTATCATTATTTTATTACAAATATTTATTATTTCATTTCATTTAATTTCATTTTCACTTATTGTTATTATTATTAATACAAACTTTTTCGATGGATGCATTGCTTATATTTAGATGTAATATAATGTCACATACTTTGGAAGATGTCTTAAAACATGTGATGATTTGATATAGCACAATTATAGTGTTTATTATTGATTGTAATTTGCGGTACACCAAGTGGATGGTTCTCCCGACGTTCCGAATACATTGCTTTATTCGTGTTGAGGTAAAACCCAGCTAACAATTTTACGTTATAATAAGTACGTTCAGTTTGGTGCACAATACGTTTTTTTTTTTGTTTTTTGTTTTTTTTTGTACGGAAAACCCATAAATATGTATTATAACTTAATTTCACAAAACTTTATTCACGTTGCAACGTTGTATTAACGCCATTTTCTGACAAGGCCTACCTAACCAAAACGTTCGCGAGCCTTATGCTTAATAACGTGTTGTGGTTCCTAGTAAGATTAATATCATCGTAAGTGCGGTGTAAACAGTTAGAAGATCGTGATGTGACACCGCAATACAATAAATTTGTATTATTGTATTGTAGTCGTGGCTGCTATCGAGGTAAATACAATCCCACTTAGGATTTAGGGGTTGTAGTCCTAAAACTGACTCATGCGCATTTCAAATGATTATGTTAATGTGGGACAACTACGGTATATAATTTATAAATTTTATTATCATTAAGATTTATAACTTTTCATATATATTGGGTTATTTATTTCTTTTTAGATGATCCAATTAATATTAATATATTGGATACAGATGAATTTTTTCAATGAATATTTTTTATATAATTACTGTATTACGTTTCAAAATTGGACCCTGAATGTTCTGAGGTATATGACAACGTCGCATATCTGGTGATAGGCTGTGAAGTGGCTTGGGCTATGTTTCAGCCATAGGTATATCGCTGTATTTGAGGTGATTTCAGTTTTAAAAAAGAAAAAAAAGAAAAAAAAGGAAAGAAATTAATACAGTTATTGACTCAAAGAGCCCCCATACATTACAATACATGCAAATATATATTATAAATACGTCTATTATAAACATTGTGAAAAATAATTAGAATGCCTATAACAGCCTGTATAATATAATATTAATTTAATTTAAGGTTGAAATTATCTGGTTTGAACCATGGCACAGTGTGATAATTTACACATGCGAATGGACAATATTTGTTCAAGAGATTACTCGCTCACTTGGAAACATGGTCACAAGTTGACGAGCATATCGATTGCCGAATTTTGCACCTATCATTTTTTGATTGAGTGAGGATTCCAAATATGACTTGATCTACAGTGCGCCGACTTGCCTCGCGCAGGAATCTCAGTTACATAATGAGTATGCAAACCATATTATCTTTAGCTTTATACATGCTTGTGTGGCGGAGAGGTCGCGTGTGACGTTGCCTAATTTGGCATCTTGAACGGCGAGTGAGGAATGGATGCGGTGATTGGATACTGAGGTTACTTATCGTAGCAGACGATATTTCTCTACTAAGAAAACAGCCATCCTTAACACATTAGACATTAATAGTAAGATTATGGATGAGTCTAAAACACATATTTTGTCTGCGAATTCAAGGTAGTTTAACACATTCAATTTAAATAAACTTTACAATATACTAATTGCTATCTATTTGATTAATGTATCTAGCAACTAGCCTAGTTTATTTATCGTGTAAATTAATCAGGAAATATTTGAGTTGATTGATTTGAATTTAGTGTCTAAGATCGTGAATTAGGCTTATGTCCTCAATTTGTCCATTTACGAACAATTAAGGAGCTATATGAAATAACTCATTAATATGATCTACTCATTATATCTCCTTAAATTGTTTTAAATCAGTAATCAATAGTCAAAAATAATCAATCAAGTAAATATGGTAATCAATATGATACTAGAATCAATATGGCACTGTGCGCTTCAATTCCACTCCCCAAACGTCTAAGAGACGTTAGAGAGCAGTGGTGGTCCCAAATGATCATCTCTCCACTGTCAAGCCTCAGAGGCTTGTTACTAGCAAGATTTCCATTTAGATGGCTACTTAAATGTTAAGCTCCTCACTGCCCAGGCCTCATGAGATTGGGTTATCGAGCATTCACGAGCCTCTTAAAGTGCCTTGGTTATACTGTAGTAGAGCAACGTGGGCCTCAATTGATGATTTGTTTTTCTAATGACAGCCAGGTTGTACCTGAAGTGTGCCATCTACTTGTCCTTTGACATCATGCAGCCTCGGTATTCTATGAATTTCTAGTTTCTGACGGGAGCTGAACGCCGTTTAGTAGCAAATTATGAATATGAAATTAGTTATGTACATGTATTATAAATTCTGATAATATCAATATTAAATATGCAATTCAATACTGTAATAATCATATGTATTGTTAATATATTTTAATAGTCATTAATATCACATAGACATTTAGTTTTTACCATTAGGCTTACATATATATATATATATATATATATATATATA